CCAACATGCATTTTAATCCTGGGAGAAATAGAATGTTGGTTTTTTCCCCCCCTATATTTAGGAAAGCAGGATTTAATGAACCACAGGACTGGATATTTTGTAAAGTACATGCAGATTCAGCTCTTTTTTCTTGGTTAGGGACATGCCATTGGCATGGAGAAGGCCCAAGAGCGTGGAAGAGCGTGGTCTTCAGCAAGAACAGAACAAACTTTCTGCTCAGTTGCCTTTGTTTTGCAGTACTGAAAGTTTGAAGGCTCATTACATGTTTCACTAGGGCCAAAGCTGGTCCCTGTTAGCTGCTCTGCATGGATTAAGTGGTTAACAATGTTTTGAGAATGTTGTTGGGCTAGATAGTTTGTGGGAACACCATCTGTTTCCTTTAACACGTAAACAAGGAAAATTGCTGGTTTGAAATGCAGGATTATTTTTTTATACTTGGGTGACCACAGGCATTCTTAAAAGAGAAGAGGTAAAAGGGAAAATAATCCTCATGAGATATGAAGTGTAATGGCATTGTTAGAAAATAAATTTTTGAGTGCCAGATGGGGCTGCTATCCCTGATCTAGAATTGGCAAATGTGGAACATCTCTTTTGCAGTCACCTCCTTCCTTCTGAATTCATCTTCAAAAATAAACTATCATAAAACCATAAAAAATTGTTCAACAATACATTGGAAGGGCTGAGCATCTCATCCAGAAGGAGCAAGTTAATTTAATATATTTATGGGTAAATATCCAAAATTAAAAATTACTTCTGACTGGGTTTGTTATCTTTCATACTTCATCTGCCCAGCTACCCCTCTCTTCCTCAGACAGAAGCAGCGCAACTCCATGTCCTGATGACCCATGTGAGGTCATGAGAGTAAGAACAAATGCCCCACATTTTTCCTTTCTCAAGTAGTGTGGACATTCTTTTAATTATTGTTACAAAATGTTTACTCCAGATAAGCTTTGGTGATGAGCTTCTTCTGTTCTGAATTGATCAGGAATAAGCAGTCCAGCTTTAAGAAAAGCTGTGGAAGGAAAGAGGAGTCGAGGTAAAACAGTAAACATTCTTGTACTCAGTGCAGACCAGATTGTCATCTGCAGGAGATTTTGCTGTGAAATTACTGGTAACTGGATAATAATCCTCCACACAGAAAAATATACCCAAGTCACTGTGAGAAAAAAGCTGTCTTTCATGTTATCAGCAAACATTGGTTTTCAGTTGCTGGGTATCTTAAAATAATATTTTCTGCCTTTCATATAATTTTTTCAAAAGCCTAAAGAGGAGCAGACATAAAAGCATCGGATGCATTTTTATTTGGAAAAGAAATGCTAACATAAGTAGAGTGCACTGCTAACCACAGCCCTGCAGACACCTCAGGTCTTTGTCCACAATGGCACTTGCAGGCGGACTTTGCTCATGAATACCCAGAATCAAGCATTTTGCACTTTAACCTCTCACTTTCTTTGACAGCAGTTAGACACACCCAGAGCACATTTTTGTTTCAACCAAATAAAGGAGTGACACTGCTTGACCACTGCTTCAGGTCTGGGAAAGAGCAAAAGTGCCTAGATTATATAAAAAGTCTTGCAGTGCTGAGTGAAACTGGTTTCCTTCGTGTGGTCCATCTATCTCTAGTGTAATTTTTTAGGATTGTATCAGCTCATTAAATAAAACCAGCACCCTTGCAGTACTGTAAATCTTTCATATGGCATCTGGTATGTCAGGATTTTTTGAAAAGAGGGAAAGGCCTCTAAAGATGATCTACCAGAGTATCTGCAACTGCATGAAACTCCTGTATGCAGAGGAGGGAGACTTTCTCTGCAAGCACTGGGCATGAGCAAGCGTCTCTTCCATACATGTTCCAGGCTCCATGGTGCAAGGCTATCATATGTTTTGTGACCAGGGATTCTTGTTACAAAAGCAAAATACTATGTTTACCTGTGAGAAGAACTAGTGGTTTTACTTGTGTGTACTTCGGGACATGGCTTAGTGGTGGACTTGGCAGTGCTAGGTTTGTGGTTGGACCCAGTGATCCTAAAGGTCTTTTCCAGCCTTCTGTGATTCTATGCCTTATTCCCTGTGCTGCTTGGATCAACTCCCTTTTTTATATTAGAGGCCTGTGACTTTGTTCACAAAGATCAATTCTCTGAGCAAGAAGAGAGTGGTGGTGTCTTTTATCACAGAATCACAGAATGAACTAGGTTAGAAAAGACCTTTGAGATCATTAAGTCCAACCTGTAGCCTAATACCTCGTCATCAACTAAACCACGGCACTGAGTGCCACATCCAGTCTTTTTTTAAAAACATCCGGGAATAGTGACTCCACCACCTCCTTGGGCAGACCAGTGCCCAATCACTCTTTCAGTGAAGAATTTTTTTCTAACATCTAATCTAAACTTCCCCTGGCACAGCTTAAGACTGTCCTCTTGCTCTGTCAGTCATTGCCTGGGAGAAGAGATCAAACCCCAGCTGGCCACAACCACTTTTCAGGGAGCTGTAGAGAGTTATAAGGCCTCCCCTTAGCCTTCTTTTATCCTGAAGGAGTTCAGTCATTCAGTTTCTGGTATAGAACAAAACTGAACAAATGGGTATAAAAATTTCACACTGAGCAAGCAGTATCTGTCTTTTTGGAGCCTGACACATCCTGAGTCCTGAACTGTCCATCTAGGCAGCAATGACACATCCTGAGTCCTGCACTGTCCATCTAGGCAGCAAACAGCAGGTGAAGCAGAGCCAAACTGCAGCAGTGCACCATTCCTCCTGCTTCCAGCGCAGCGTGGGGCCTCTGGTCGCCTGCCATGAACACCCTGTTTTTTCTTTTCTCTGGGATGGTCAAGCAGTTTCCCAGCATATTAGCAAGCAGCCGAATGCCACAGTGTTCACAGCAGCAGAAGGGCTGGTGGAGATGGGCTACCCAGGAAACAGTACCTTGTTTTTACTGCACATTGTTAGTTCTCCCAGAGGATCACTTCAACACACTGAATGACTCATTGAAGTAGCTCATGGTTGTAATTTTGGAGCCCTTGGAAGGAACCTCTGAGTAAACATGGCTTAAAACCAAATTCTTCTGTCTTGACTTGGGTAGAAATCATTTGACCAGCAGTACTCAGCTGGGGGGGAAAAAAGGATGCAAAATATATATGGCAAACTATTCTAGTCTGGTCACTAACCCTCACTGGCAGAGAAAGCATGATGAAGTGATGGTGATACAAGTTAGAATTTTCTCTGGCAAACAGAATAATCCCACTATTGCATGAGAGTGGCCTGGGAGGGATACTGTCTGGATTGACCCATTATGGGAAGCTTCCAGTAACTTCAGAAAGAATTTCCTTAAAAGTTTTGCCCATAGATACCTTTTACAATGCAGTAGATGACTCTGCGGGACAGGAACAGTCTGTCATAAATGCAATATTTTTAGATTCTTTTTTAAAAAACTCTTGTGTATGTAAGCCCTATTAGCCCCATGCCCAGCTGAGCAGTTCTATCATATGGAGCCCTCTGGAGACTCTATCACTTCCAGTTCCTGTCTTCTGATGGTGATTCAAGGAAAAGCACTTGCAAAAGCTGTGGTCTTCCTCTGCCTGCCAGGTGTGACTGTTCCTCCTTTCCCCAAGGCCCATAGTCAGGGCAGGGCTGGTGCTGCCTTGGGATACTCACTAAATCAGCCCTGCACTTGTGCTGGCAAGGCACTCACCTGGGGGAACCCACTGCTTGTTTCATGATACAGGAACAGAGACTGCACAGCCGAATCTGCATGGCATGTGAAAAGAAGGAAAGCCTGTGGTGTTAAAACAACAGAGAAGAGGTAGGGGGTTAGCATGAGGGACTGTCCTTGAAGACCTCAGTCAAGAAAAACTCACTGTGAAATCTGGCCAGGATGCAAGGATTCCTTACAGCAAAGCCTGCCACGGGATGCTTACTGAGCGTTTGGGTAGAAATGCTGTTGGTATGTCTCGCATACATTTCTAAGGAGAGTTAGGTAGCTCTGGTATAAAATTTTCCCTGGCTGAGTACAAAGCCACATCTTATACAAGCCTATGTAATTAGCCATTTTGTGCTTACAGTATTTATATTTTTTTCTTAGAGCTAAATAGCACCAAGCAGAGGTTAAGATGTCAGCATTTCCACTACAAACCCAGCTCTCTTTCGGGGTTACATTACTTTTATACCACACTGTGCTGAAATTCTGCTGTGCAGATGCTGTCCAAGACTTAAGGCATTTCTTTTCCACATGATTTTATTTGTAGTTATTATGGTAGTTAATGGTTTACAAAATGTCAAAAAATGTAAATTCTAAGCTTTTTTGTTTTTCAGAGACTGTTATTGCATTATATACTTCAAGAATGGTTTGACATTTCCCATCTCTTAGCCACTAGCATAGATGAACCAAGCAGAGACAGCAAAATTGAATGTCCTGCTTTGGAAAGTTTAAGCGTGTCGTTTCTATATAAAAAATTTCCAAAGCCTCAACTCACACTCAATTCTCCAGGATGTTGTGCTATGGAGCACAATAACACATGGAGTCCTGCTGGAGTAAGTGGGAAATACCTCTACAAGCAAAGGCATAGACTCCCAGAGACTAAACATAGTATTTTAAGCCTCTGACAAGGAGTGGGGACAATCACACCTAGTAGGATCAGTGTACACAGCCCTGATCTCAGCAAGTGGGTGGTGCAGCCATCACCTCTTATGGTCTGTGCTAATGGGAGGTCAATGGGAAGAAAGGACCGAGCCCTCAGACCTGCACACAGTCTGTGCTTAGCAAATAGAAGACAGTGTAGAGCACTAGAAAACAGTCATGTCAGGGCTAGTCTGGGGAAAAAAATGGTGCATTTGTAGCTACTAACGCTCATTTTAGAGTGTTCAACTCTCAGAAGGGTATGCAGACTGGTGTTACTAACATTGCCAATGATGCATGAATGTTAACAGGACTGGATTGTTTTATACCCTGTGTAGTTAAAGAAAGAACATCCTCAGAGACTTAATGTTTCCTCATTTTCCTTTACCCACAGGTAATAACACCAGTCAGGTCAGGACAAGGTTATGTTTATGAATTCCCTTCTAAACACCAGAAGGATGCCTACGATATCCCCCCGGTTCGCCCTCTCCAAGGGGTAGGTACCAATAAAAGTGCCAACAAGGCTGACAGAGCACAAAAGGTGATGAATTTCTACCAGACTTTTATGAGTAAGGCATGTTCTCTCATTTCAGAGAGAAAATATGTTTTAATTAGATGCTGTGGCTTATTCACAGATCACAGACGTATTTCAAAGTTTTATTTGATGTTGACTAAGATTTGGCAGCACACCAAATGCAAAAGTCCCATTTGTTCTCTCTGTTTTGATCAAAGAGTTTATCTAAACAGAATAAACTTGCTGCCTGGGAACATTTTTTCCCCTGTTCTTTGTTGTTGCATAGTTGACAGTAATTCACTCAGTAAGGGTAAAATTATCACCTAGATGAACAGCTGCCATGCAGGGAGTTGTTTTAACCACCCATTGACTGCACCATGTCACTGAGCTTGAACTATATCTTCGTTCTGGACCCTTAGCAGTCAGTCCCCAGGACCACAGACTGGTAGAGCAGATGCTGGCAGGACCTGGAACTCAACCACCCTGGATGTCAGGGTGTGATCAGTTCTGGTCAAATGTGCTCCCCTGTTCACCCCAAGAGGTAACTGTAATGGACTGACCCTGATTTACCTCTCAGGAGAGAAGTCAGCCTTGACTTCATCTCTCCAGCCTGGTGTCCACACCATTGCCCAGAGGCGACCTAGCAAAGTTAATTTCCTCCTAACTGTCCAAAATTCTAGGCAAATCCAAGATGTTCTCCCATATGAAAAAAAAAACTGAAGAGCTTGGGTCATATTCAAACTTTCTGAGAGGAAACACAGAATCTGTGAAAATTCATCTAATAGCAGAGCTTTCACTGAGGTGACTTGTTTCTGTAACCAATTTATTCTTTCTTCAGATATATGACATTCCCCCCACATCGGTTAAGGGGCCTGTACGTCCAGTTCCCATGGGAGAAGCAAAAGCTTTAGGAGTGTACGACATACCACCTGCCAAAGGGGTAAGAATTATTCTCTTTACAGAAGATCCTGTATTTTCGTGTCTAGCCAAAGACATGTTCTAACAAAGGTTCATGTATGATCCTGAAGGAGAAGGAGAGATTAAATGCTTTAAAAACTTCCTTAGGTTTTTAAATTATTAAAACTGGTGAAGTGAAGCCCTACATCAAATTTAAGGTTATGAACTATAAATTGATAATTAGATCTACATTATCTTTGTGGCAGCATGCTGCCTTTTTGGATTTTGCTGCTTATGGGAATTTGCATTGAGATAAGTGATAAAAAATGAGATATTAAAATTGACTCTCAGTCAAACTTAAGATAAGTAGCTGGCTCTTTCAAAGTCAATAGCAGATCTTCCATCCCAAATGGAAGATGGTAAATATTTTGCTATTCTAGTAAAATGTTTCATGTTTTGTTTTCTGTGACTCAGGTCTATGCTGCACCTCCATCTGCATGCCAAGATGATACAGCCCTGAGGGAAAACTTGCAGGATTTTTCATCTCCAGCAGGCCACACTGTAAGACCAGAAGGGGTATATGATATTCCTCCTCCCATCACCAAAGCAACTGGAAAAGAACTTAATAGATTTTCTCCTGAGAGCGTATTATTGCCAGGTGGAATGCCACAGACACAGAGTGTTTATGATATCCCTACGAACCATCAAAACCATTTTCTTGGACAGCAAATTGCACCTGAAAAAGATGTTTATGATACCCCGAGGGGAATTGCATTCCCAGGACAACAGACAGGACTCAGTGAAAATCCCATTGCAGAAGGAAGGGAAGGTGTCTATGATGTGCCACCACCAATCCTCCAAGACAATAAAGGCTTACAGGATGTGACTGATGGGATGAATAGGTTGTCTTTCTCCAGCACAGGAAGCACAAGGAGTAACATGTCCACATCATCAACGACATCAAAAGACTCTTCTCATTCAGCATCAACTGCACAGGACAAAAGATTAATCCTTGATCCAGACACTGCTATAGAGAGGCTTTATCGCCTCCAGCAGATGGTGGAGGCAGCTGTCAGTCACCTCACAGCCTTCATTACACCAGACTGGCGGTCCTATGGATATATGGAGAAACACGTCAATGAAATTCACGCTGCTGTGGATAAGGTAGAGCAGTCACTGTTAGAGTACCTCCAGTTTGCCAAAGGATCGGCAGCCAATGCTTCCTACCTGTCTGAGTTCAGCCTCCTCAACAAAATGAGGAGGGAGGTACAAAGGCTGGAGGACTCTCACCAAATCCTTACCCAAACCAGTCATGACTTGAACAGCTACAGCTGGTCTTTGAATGTCCTAGCTGTCAACAGAGTGCAGAACAAGTGCGATGACCTGGATCGGTTCATTATGGTGGCAAGGACGGTCCCGGATGATGCCAAGCAGCTGACCACCACCATCAGTGTCAACGCAGAGCTGCTCTTCAAACAGGCACTGGGCAGCTCCCATTTCAAAAACATACCAGAGAATATAATGAACGCTCCAGACAGTGTGTATGACAGTCCTCAGACGCAGTGTCATGGAGAAAAAGCACAGAACCACTGCAGCTCCCTTCCCCCACTCCTGGGTAAAGGCCAGCACCCTTACAATGCTACCAGTGAGAGCTCGGAAAAGAGCTGGATGGATGACTACGATTATGTTCACCTGCAGGTAGGTAAACCCAACACCTTGTTCTGCATGAGGCTGTGTAGGAGTTGTCTGTGGTTTTTGTAGAAGTTTCTTGTGGGAAAGCAGCAATCGATTGCCACGCTAAAGCATATTCCAGAGTAATTTCACCAGGGTGATTACTTCCTGTCAAATAGGACTGTTGGATTTCTAACAGTGGTAGCCTTTTGCTCTGCCACACTATCCTATGTGTTTATATCCTATAAACTATTTCATTTTCTGTACTCTTGGTGGAGCACTACTAGTGAAAAAGCCAATACAAAGCAGCCTCTTTCTTGACCTGTGAGCTGCCATTTAGCTCAGGAGCAGTTTTGATCTAACACAGTCTCTTCTGTTATGCAAAACAGGGGAAAGAAGAGTTTGAAAGGCAACAGAAAGAGCTTCTGGAGAAAGAAAATATCATCAAGCAGAGCAAAATGGAGTTAGAGCGCCATCAGGTATGTTCTCCCAGGTGTATAATTGCCCTGGAATGCATCATTCCTCACACAAGGAGCACTGGTCAAATACAGCGGGAGGGGCCCTCCCCTTAGCAGTGTGCAGAGGATACAGATAATAAAAAGCAAAGAGTTTAAAAACTCTAAAAGTTCACCACGGAAGAGAAACAAGCTTCTCTGATGTCTCACAGCAGGTCAGTCACAAAGCCAGCTTGAGAACTTGGCTTTCCTGACCTGCCATCCAGGGCCTCCTCAATCACTGGACCATACTGAATACATGTGCCACCTTCACATCTGCTCAGTGAACATCAATACCATCAGCTTAAAAATTGTGCTAAACATCTCTTTTAGTGCTAAAAAAAGTAGGTTCACAAGATTGAGTGCTGTCACTTTTCCCTCATATTAATTCAGTATGTTGTTGCCATATTGTATGGCAGAAAATTGTACAAGCAATGAGGAGGTGAGATTTAAAGGGTTTTCATCTCAAAATCCCACAGAGATGACAGCTTTTTAAAGATTGTGTAGGAGTCATTGCCACTTGTATCCATCTCTCTCACTTGTGATTTCAGAATACTCCAAATGAGCAACAGACTGTAAATTCAGGAGTTTGTGTTGTTGGGGTTTTTCAATGCAAATGAGGTATTTTAGATGTTTCTCCCTTCTGAACTCTGCATGTTTGGATTTACGGTAATCAAAGCACTTGATCCTAGAAAATAATACTGTTACTTTTTACTTAGCATAAGGTCAGCGTAGGATACCCAGGGGTGTCCTGAGGCACAAAGTGAAATTGTAATACGTAACAGCATCTTACGAGAATACTTGCTGATGGGAGCTTTTGTTTTTCCTTTCAGATCAATCAGTTTCAACGTCTGGAGCAAGAGATCACAAAGCCAGTGGAGAATGACATCTCCAAATGGAAGCCTCCACAAGCCCTCCAGACCTCCCATGACAGCCGCCTGCTTTTGTTCTACTCCGACCAGTGTGAGACTCACTTCAACTCCCTTCTGAACGCCATCGATGCCTTTTTCAGTTGTGTCAAGTCTTCTCAGCCCCCCCGGATCTTCGTGGCACACAGCAAATTCATCATTCTGAGCGCTCACAAACTCGTGTTCATTGGGGACACGCTCGCCAGGCAAATGACTACTCAGGACATGTGCAACAGAGTGATGAACTCCAGCAACCAGCTGTGTGAACTGCTCAAGAGCGTTGTTCTGGCCACCAAAGCGGCTGCCTTGAGTTACCCCAACACAGCATCCCTGCAGAAGATGGTGGACCGAGTGACAGAGCTCTCTCATCATGCACAGTTGTTCAAACTCTCGCTGGTCCAAATGGCGTCCTTATGAAACCCAGCAGAATCCAATCCATGAGCAGCAAAGTAGAAGAGCAGACAAACTGGAGTTATTTTTATGTAAATGGTATCTTTTTTTAGATATTTTTTATTAAATATTTTAAATACATTCTTATACATTAGAGAGTCTAATCAAATCAGGGATCTGGGAATATTGTCTGGTTCTGTATTATGTTTCTTATACACATTTATATTTGTACACACAGCGTATATGTATATGTATATACATATGTATATGTATATGTTGTATATGTATATGTTGCTACCTTACCTAAAACATCAATTAAGCACCTTAAAAATTACACGTCAGGTAAACAGTGCATATCTTTTGTATATACAGCCTGTTTCTTCAGCATATTTGTTAACTGGATTCTGCACTCTTTTTGTTTCATTCCATCTTGATGCTGGTGCATGGACTTGGTTGTGAAACCTACTTGTAGCAATCCATGAAACAAGTGTAGTGGTTCTCATAGAACTCCATTCCCTTCTTAGAAATTACTTTCTATAGGTTAATTCTGTGAAGTCTAACTCCTTTTGATGTTACTTTGTTGTGTAAAACATTTGGTCATTCTGACCAACATACATGCACAGCTGCAATAAGCAACATATCAAGCAAGTCATACAGCATTTGGGAGAAAAGCATTTTTAGGCCATGTAAGAAACAGGACCTAAAGGAGGAAGGCAGAATTGTATATATTTAATATCCTTTGGCATTCAGTTTTTGTTGTTTCTAGTAACTGTCCAACATGGAATTTCAAAACTGTGGATGGATTCCCAGCAATTTAATTTCATACATGTTTACTTTGTATGTCCTTGCATTGGCAGTTTAATTTAACAGTCAGGCTTGAAAGCCTTATTGTTTACGGACTCAAGAGATATCCTGAGGGCATCCCAGGATCCATTGGGCTAATTTCTGAGGCTGTGGGCGAGCAATGTTTCAAAATACCAATCCCTTTCAGAAGGATTAACATACAAATTATATTTTGTATGGAAAGAAAAGAGCTTAATTTGAAATAACAGGTATTTAAACATCTCTATAGCATATACACAATTTAATGAAGAAGTAGCACTTAATTTTCTCTGACATATTATTGGGAATTAATTGCATCTGTTGCAATTCTGACTTCCATTCAACTACTGGGCTTTTTTCCAGAATTTTGTTGTGTAGGTGCTGGTCTTTTCTGCACTACACTGTTGCCAAAAATTATGTCCGGTTTTAATGGGACCATTCCATCAGTAAATATGCACAGACCCACCTAGTAATTTTCAATGTAGACCCTTAAAAATTGTTAGCAGAGTATTAGCCTCCTTTAGAAATTCCATGTATGCTGGTCTCTCCAAATCCCATATAAGCTTATTTGTCATTCTTGCCTTCTGTAAACGTCCTAAAAATAAGTCACAGAGCACCATTTGCCTGTGGTCCCTAGCCTAAAAGCTGAGCTTCAAAGTGAGCAGTAGCTCAGGAAAATTCCAGGTGATTCCTGCATTTTTAAAGCAGAAGCAGTACTGTCCTTCAATTCAAGGTGGTCCCACATTAATGTGTTGAGAGCGTTTGCCAGATCGCTGGTAACAGCAGGGTGGTGAGATCAGTAGCACCTGGAAAACAGGTACTTCTCACTTCTGCCTGACTCCTGACTTTTCCATTTTGTAGCTGAACGTGTGCCTTACTGAAATGGGATTTGTTGTCTTAGGTGACAGAACCATTTCAGCAGTGTATGAAACCCCACAGCCTTAATGTATTGTCTTAGAGCGAAGACCACTCTTCACTACCATAACATTCCAGAGAGCAAAACATTCCTGGAAGGTCAGTGGAAGCCAGCACAACCCCAGCTGGCTCAGGATGGGCTCCAAGGCTTGGCCTGGTGTAACATCCTGAAAAAGCAGTTGTGATTTTGTAACCTAGAACCAGTTGCCAAAAAGCAATCTGTGTGAACCTGTTTTGTACTATTGTTGTTTGGGATTCTTTTGTATTTCTTTGTCCACTTTTTTCACTGTATATTCTTAGAAAGTGAAAATGTATTTCTAGGTGTAGTGGTTATGTTGATAGCTTGTGCTTTCCAAAGGAGAACCTTTATTGCAACCCTGTATTACAGTTTGTTATCATGTAGAGAGTCATTTTGAAATGATTAAAATTACTAGTTTTTTTATATTAAAAAAAAAAAAAGGCAGTTTGGTCTTATTTTTTCTTGTTTTCAGAGTCTTCTAAGCATATTAAAAGGAAATATTGCTGCTTTCTGATATACTATCAAAGCCATTCTGAAATGAGGAACTAATTTTCTGTCTTTTCAATGGTCAGTGCTTATAGTGTGAAATGAGAACTTGGGAGTTTGAGAGAAAGGGACAGACAGTTTCTCTGCCTATCCAGGAGCAGCCACACAAGCTATCAAGTCCAAAATACTTCTATGAGGGCCTACAGTACACTGAGACACAATCCTGCTCCATTCCTTGTGTGTATTCCTGCTGCATAAGCTGCATCCCAAACCACCTCTTCCTAGCACTGACAGTGGTCCTTCACCTGAGTGGGGCAGTTCCTCTCAACAGGATCCCACAGGATGGTGAGGTCATAGGACACAGCTCTGCCTTCCACCCATTCTGGCCTGTTCCCCCTCTCCAGCACTTACTGGTGAAGCCATTATCCACGCAGGAACTGGAAAATCAACTTTGCTCAGTACAGGCACCTTTCTCCCCGCAGTCAGTGGTAAGAGCACTCCTCTTCTACATACCAGGCTGAACATTATGTTGGCGTGAGTTTCATCTGAAATAACCCCATGGCTTTAAGGATCACAAAGTTTTCCCAAAAGTTACTTTCATATTTCACTGCTGCCAAGGCACTCACTGCTCAACCTCCTGTCAAACACCCAGGAGTGCAAGGAGGAGAGATGTTATATGTGTATATGATAATTTGTGCAAATAAAATTGTCACATATTTTATAGTTTTGTACTGTTAAGATAATACTCTTGTAAGAAGTTTTTAAAATGCACAAGCCAGTGATGGGGATTGCAACACAATGTCAAAAACAACTGGACAAAGGAGGGAGGACTTCATTTACAAGCAAATGAACATGGCCAGCCCAGAGATGGGTTATTCATCAAGGTGGTCTGAGGAACGCAGGGACAATGAATGCACGACAAATATCTGATATTGAGAAGCCATCAGAACATCTCAATACTGAATTCTGGGAATGCAGTCATGGGTGTTCATCACTCTCCAGACATGCTTTGTTTAACTTGCCACAGAGAAAAGAACACCACATGAATATGTGCAGTCCAAAAAGGAAGAAAATGGACTCTGCCTTGAGCAAGAAAATCCATCTAAAAATCAGTCAGATGGGAAAGTCAGTGTGAAGGATAGGGGACCCTCTGCTGCAGTGGTCAAACCTGTCTCACCCAGCGCCGATACCCGGGTTCGGCACTGACCCTTTTTTTTTTTTTTTTGATAGTGGCTTTTTGTTGTTATTCTCTAAATTTATATTTGGACCATTTAATAAATTTTCTTAATTAATAAATTGGAACTTTTATTTATAACAAGAGAGAAATACCAGGGCTGGTGCTCTCCTTCCACCAGTCTTTGGCTGCTAATGAAAGACATCTCTGCCAGGAAGCATAAGAGCAATGAAAACTTTTAAGAGTAAAGTGCTTGGTTTGGCTCACCATGTCCTTGTAAGGGGACAGCTAGGGATGCAGGGTTACTCTGTGGAGCATCCTTCCACAGAGTGCTCTATTTTGTTCCCCTGCTAAATGTAAAAAGGTCAACTAACAACAAAGAAGGGACTGGACAAACAAAATGGTTCAGAATGGAAACCAGAGCCTCTCTGCTCCCCTCCCTCAAGCTGCAAAGTCCCCATGCAGTTGTCAAGAAACTGCTGTTTGGCAACCAAGTTGATAGCCAGTGTGAAATGACTGTCTCATGGCCAGTGTGGGAAAAAAGTCTGCCTCACGCTTGTGGCAAATGCAGAGCACACATGGCTCTTTACTGCATAACTTAATTACTGTTTCACGTTTATTAGAAAAACCCTTCCTCTTTCAGGATGATGAGCGAGGGAGAAAAAAAGCAGGCAAAAGCCATCCTTGAAATGGGCAGGTTTTAGAGAAATTGCCAATTCATAATAATAGGCCATCATTCATACTGCACAATCCCCTGCTGCTACCTCTGCCATTTCTTGCAAGCCAGGGTTGTGCAGCTCCTGCCTTTTCCAGAGCAATGCACTGCTGCAGCCTTGGCAGAGCCACTGCCTGCTGCTCCAGCACAGGCAATATGGGTGAAAGATGCCCACTTCCCACAGCATCATCTGATGCCAGAGTACACCCAGCATCTTCATATCCCCCATAACGTCTAGGCCCTCTCTGAGCTTTTGTCACTCTCTGACATGAACATCTGGGCTGAATTTCAGAAGTGTCCCTCCCACACCCTTCACCAGCTCTTCAGAGTGTTGTCACACCAGTGACATCTTCCCTCTGCCTCCAAGACAAGCATCTGTAGCTTTTCAGACCCAAATTCAGCTTTTCCTTATTGAACTTCCACTTCCAGGCTGCTTGCTGTACCTTAACATGCCTCAGTCTCAACCTAAAGGCTTTAGAAGCTTGTGGGATTTTCTCCAAAGGTAGTTCTTAACCTTCCCTTGCCATTTCTCCTCTCACGATGTCAGCTTTAGTCAACATGTAGACAGTAACAATTCCAGGGCAAAGCCAGGGTCATGCCAGTCCCCAAAGACAACACAAAACGTTCCTCCCTACTCCAAAATATGTCTGTTCAATTCATCTTAGCCTGTTAAACTGGCAGTTTAAAAAGCTGCATGTGTGTGTCTTTCTTAAGTCGATGCAGCCCTTTTTCTGCTACAAGGTTTTCCCATCTCAGAGATGGACTGTCTAGATAATGCAGATTTGAGTTATTTTTTAAAATATATATTTTTTTTACTTGCACCCAAATTACACCTATGCAGCAGCTTTCTCTAAGAGCCTGGATATAGCTGTGCAGCTTGTCAACATCACAGCAAAGCTGCAGCTGTATCTAGTGCTGCAAAGTCCTTCCCAAAAATTCTTCTGACTTGAAGAGGCATTGAAACCAAGGCTTGAGAGTACCTGCAAAACGTGAACAGCAGCAGGAAAAATATCTAATCCAGCCCTACTGACTGTTGACTTCACATAGAGCAGGAATGATGTTTGACTTCCTGGGAGGCTGCATGAGGGGTAGCACAGACTCTCAGTAACTTGTACTACTTTATTTTGCCTCTGATGTACTGCCCAGAGACAATTTTACTTTGATTTAATTAGAGCTAAATTTGGAGTGGAGTTCACATCATGAGCAAAGCCTGACCATGCTGGACATATTGCCAGCTGTTGGATTCATTTTGGAAGCCCAAGTATATAATTCTCTATTCAAAACCCAAATATTTAGCCTTCAGTGCCAGTGAGTTATGCAGAGGATGACATAGCCAGTCAGCTTCCTGACCTTGGAAGAAACACCTCTCCAGGGCATTGATTTGAGCTCCTGGAAAGCTACTGGGTTCAGATCAGGGTGATCTTCATCCCCCACCTTCCAGGTCAGTGGCTAGGATCATTTAGGGGTGGCTTCCCAGAGCAAAGGACCAACAAGGATAGTTTCAGGTCAAAATTTCAGGGCGCAGTCTGGGCATGCACACTGCCAGCTGCTGTAGAGGCCTTTTCTTCAGTTCTCAAAGCAGCAGAAAATCAGTAGTTGCCCATCCCATGGGCAAAAGCTCTTTGTGTCTCCTGATAAACCCTTGTCTCTGCAGAAATAGCCTTTGCTCACAGATGTTGTGGACTGCTGAACAGGAGAAGCTGAAATGCTCAGAGGGAGAGGCAGTGCTGAGCAGAAGATCACTTTCCCATCTCTCCTGGGGTTTAATTTGCAATAGTAACCTCTTCACAGCAGTTTGAGCTTCAGTTCTGTCTTTTCAGCAGACAGCATCAGCCGTGGCTTAACCCACAACTGAGCTGCAGTTTGCTTTCTTCTTTCTGTACCTCTCTGGGTTTAACTTTTGGCCCTAGCCCCCACAAGCAAAGTCCACCAAGTCAATGCTCCTCACAGGAATACACCTTGTTGCTACTGGCCTCTCCATTTCCATGAGTCCTCCCAGTCCCTGCTGTGGGCAGGGAAACCAGTGCCTGGGAAACCAGTGCTTAAGTAGCACTGCTGCAGCTGCAATGGGCTCGGCATCCACACCACCGCCCTGACAGGGGCTTCTTTTCCTCTGCTGAACACCGAGGGAACAGATATCTGCTGTACACGCAGCAATTCCACACACCAGGCTGACTGTGGTAAAACCAGGAGCAGGGAGTAGGAAGTCTCAGGTCTCCAGGAGATGCATGAAGCTCAGCTCATCTGCTCTGCGCTGCCTCGCCTTTGCTGCAGAAACAGCAGCAGCTGCTGCCCCCGCCCGCAGCGGGCTCCCAGAGGGTTACACGTTCCATAAGGCCAGGCAAAAATTGTCATTCCCTGGTTCTGTGCAGGCTCGTGCCCATGGAGTATCAGCTTCTGTCAGCCAAGGGAGGCATGTAAAAATACCACTGCTGGGTGGGGGGAGTTGTCCTCTGAAATCAGGATTTTTTTTCTCCTTCCATGTAATTTCCCTTTATTACAGAAAGAGTGATCAGGGCCCTTTCCTTGATGTAAAGCTGCAGGAAACCAAATTCAAGAGGCGTCTCAAAGCTTCCTACTTAGCCAGCTTTATCTTGCTCAACACTGCAGCCAGGGCTGCCCAAACTATTGCCAACCAGGAAAGCACAATAACAATGTCCCAGAAGCATCTGCTATTTATATGAAGGCAGACTTAACCGTGATTAAATGAAGGTTACAGTGAAGGACAAGCAGAAAAATCTGGAGGAGAGCAGAGAACAAGAAAAGAAAAAGAAGAAAGCCTTCTCTGGCTTTAAATTTTCTTACAGAAAGGAATCAAAGTAAATCTTACCATTTTTTGTGCAGTTAGAGGACCCCAGAGCATTTTGCTGTGCAGTGATTCAAGTTCTCCTTTATTCCCAGTCAAACGCAAAGAGAAAAGCCCCAAGGGTGAGTGGCCATGAACATGCAAAAGAAAAAAATAGACTTTTACTGTTTTTTCTCCCTGCGCTTTGTTTTCATGAAGGATGTTAGGAGCAGCCCACCCAACAGCCTTTTATCTCAGGAGGAGACTTGAGCTGGAAATAGGTACCTGTAATTAGCTTGCCACTTCGGAAGGGGAGAAGTTAATTTACCTGGCTTTTCTTCACGAGGCATTTCAAAGAGAAATTAATTTTTGATGAATGAGAATGGGCATGCTGCAGTGCTTGACCTGCAGTTAGTTTTCAGGCCTCGCTGCTCTAGACACAGCTTTCACTTGTTCACTCGCAGATGTAGTAAAGGAATAAGCACAACAGCCCTGCTGGAAACCTGTACCACTTTCACAGGAATTGCTACAATGACCAAGTGGACATTGCCAGAGCAGGGCTGTGCTGCACAGGACACCTCATTCCACCCTGAAACAGCAGCAGGTGGAGCTGCCTTTGCTCCTGAGAAGGTGAAAATCCACAGGTCCCTCAAATACAGGCATTACACAGAAACAATGGCTCCATCTAAGAAGTAGAGTTGCTGAAGACAACAAAATACACAAATAAGAAAGTTTGTTCCTCACTCCCTCTTCTTTTCTCCATGGGTGGTGATGTTCAGAAATGCCTCAGTTTGGATCAGCCTGTACCTACTCTCAGTGTGAGGCATCTCAGATGCAGATCATCCTGCCTATCTAAAGAGATTTGTTTGTGAGAAATATCATCAGAGTCTCCTTTTAGCTGATTAGAGTCCAGTCTATATGATTAAATCTACTTTAGGATGAGACAAATCCTCGACAGGTTCCAGTGATTGATTGCATCTTCTTAGGTCTTCAAGGGCAGCGAGACAAGCAGCTTAGGTGCAAATGACCACATCATACACTCCTAAACTTTGAGGATGATGAATACTATCCAGAGACCTGCCTCCTGAAACTTGGTGTGGCCACATACACAGCTCAAGTCATGACTTGAACACTAAAACACTGTAGAAACTCCTGGGCTCCCCCAGCCCACCAAGCCTGAATCTGGTATTGGTACTATCAAAGCGCTTGTCCTGAGGGTTCAGCAAGTCAGGACACTCCTGGAGCCTGAGCCAGCAAATGTCACAACCCGCATCTAAGCTCAGTACCCCCAGTCCTGCCACCTCCTCCTGCCCTCAGACAGCCTTCAGGCTTTGCAATTAGCCCTGGCTCTAAAGGCCCATCAACTAAAACATGCTCTGTGCCACATGGGAGAAAAGTTGGACATGCAAGTAACTCACAGCTCTGTGCCTCCACTCTCCCAGCAGTTTTCTTGGCAGCTCTGTGCTTGTAGCAGTGCAAAATCCAGGTGGTTACAAAGCTCCTTCCTTAGGAACTCCCAGCCTGAAGGATTCCTGGGTTAGGTTGCTCCTCCTTGTACCAGAGCAGAGAAATACAGAAGAAGAGGAAAATGAGGCAGATTTCTTTAAGGTCATAGGGG